GTAGTGAAGCTCCTATGATCCATGTCTCCTCCAGGCTGTCCGTGCCCACAGGGATGAGGCAGCACCATGAGCCCACCCATGCAGAGCCACTTCCATCTCCCATCATGGAGCAGGAGGCAATGCCTCCTTTGATAAGAAGCCAGATGTTCAAAAAGCCAGAAGGTGGATTTCCATTTTACAGCTGGAGATTTACTCAAACTGCTTGTACATGAACCTAGCAATGCACTCTCAGCTCTCCCCAGGTCATATAATCAGTATGAATAAGAAAGATTGGAGATGCTTACCATATTTATTATAAACACTGTATTAGACACCATGTTATCTCCATGGAATGCCAGCAAGTTTGAGAAAGTGGAAGTTTACAGATTCCTGCTTCACTTGATTAATACATTTGTCTTGGACACTAGATTTTAATTAAGTTATCATAAATGTCTAATGGAAGAGCACTCTTAATGATCTCACAGCAAGGATAGAGGCCAAGGTCTAAACCGTCTATGGCTTCCATTGAAACAGTAATATCACACAAATTAAGCCAGGTATTCTAAAAACATATTTAAATTGCATCACTTCCAGTACAGATTTAGTTTTCATAGTTCTATTTACAAGTGTTACATCATATACCTAAAATGGCAAAAATAAGTGAACAGTTACCAAATTCAATCATTTGAAAAGCTGCATCAATAATCTATTAAAAATAGAGCTTCTGGGCCTTGATTATTAGTACTGTATAGTGTAATAAATATGCTTAAATAGTTTTATCCACTAGTGAATGCTCACTGCATACTTTAAATAAAACTACAAATAGATTTTTTTTTAAAACATTGTTCTATTCAAGTTTAAGAATTATTTTGGGTGAGTTTAGTGCTAGTGAAAGTGCTGGATTGCAGCCTTGGAGACTGAAGTCCTCTTATCTACAGGCCAGAGTACAACCTTCTCCATGCAACCTTGTCCATCTGCTTCAGCCATGGATTGGATGGTCCATCTTTGATATAAGAAGGCAGTTTGGTCTCCAGGCCTATTCACAATCCTTGAACTTCTGGTCAAGAATGCCGTAAGTTGTGTGTAAGGAGATGGGGTGGGAAAAGGAAAAGACACTGTGCTGTACAATACCCATTAGGAACTGATCTCAGCCCAAAAGAGCCAACAAATTATGGTAGTATTATCACCACCAACTTACATTAGATTCAGATTGGCAACCTAAAGGTTCAATGCCGTGCATAAGATATGTACAGTATTACAGAACCACATATTTTAATTTTTTATTTCCCCTACCCTCTTCTATTTTTTTTAAATTAAAAAGAAAGTGACACCTCAATGTGAGGTCTATAAAGATATATAGACCATCACCGGGCATATTACAGTCATAATTTTCTTACTCCTTGGGTTTTGCCAGGTATTCCCGATACATTGAATACAGCACACCTGAAAAGCAAACACAAGCAAAGTAGTTAAATATTCATCCTTTATTAAAGGAGAAGACTATTTCTAGAACAAGCTACTGCCAGGAAGACTATTAACAAGAGAAAAATCCATGGGAGTCTATTCTTTACGATCTCATTTCCCATCTAGTATTTCAGTAAACGCCACAAGTCACTTGTTAGACTGAAGGGCAGAATATCCCCACACAGTTTGCTACATACTGTTAGTATTAGAGCTACTGTTATTCATGGTCTAGCCAGGTCAAGGAAGGTACGGTGCCTGGAGCAATCCTCCCACCTCCACACCAGACCCCAGTCCCACTCCACCACTTCCCCCAAGCCTCCATCTTGCATCTTCCCACCCCTGCTCCACCACCGCTCCTTCTATTCCCCCTCTTCCTCTGAGAGCAAGGTGGAGAAGGATCATCCCCATGGCCCCCTGAAGCAGGACCAGGGTGGAAAGAATTGGGGCAATGGTGCTGTTGCTGGGTCCTATGCAGCCCAAGACCCGTATACACCTGAAGCACGGGGTCCCCCGAAGCATCCTATGGATCGGACCACTCTGGCTATACCTTCAATTTAGATGCAAGCTATAGAAAATTTCTGATCTTTCCCATGGAGAAATGAGTTTAAGTAAGGCTCAATAATTGTCAAATAACTTGGAGAGAGCAGTACAATTGGGAAACTAAGAATAACCACAAAGTGCATGGGGCAATTGTATTCTTTGTGTTCCTCGCTGACTTAGCACCTCTGGAAAAAGAATCAAGTTAAGTGCCTGAATGTTAATGCAATTTTGTGTGTGTGTGTGTGTGTGTGTGTGTGTGTGTGTGTGTGTGTGTGTGTAAGAAGTGAAGGGAGAAAAATGGAGGTCTTCAAACATGGCTACCTAGATACCAAGCACACTAGTTTTATGATACCAAGCAAAGAAACAGTTTACTAGCTCAGTTTCATAAAAAGAGCTATGTGTTTTCAAGTTTCTAATGCAGTTAGACATAGTTAATGGTTTACAAGCTACAAGAAGATATTTTTTTTCCTTTAGCGTAGAAAACACACTTTTAAAGTAAGTCTGCCATCATTAAGAGATATTTAGGGCTGGTCAACAGCTGCCTGTTTTATACATACCACATGTCATTGCTCCAACAACAAAGCCCTGGGCTGCCACACGCATGTGAATCAGGTGAATAGACATTTTTGTATTGCCTCTGTGCTTCAGTTTGTAAAGTCCGTAGCCTACAACTGCAATCAAGCCTGCCACCCCTATAAAGTAGAATAAGCAAGAGAGTTTCTTAATTACACAAAGATTTTACATTCCTCACTCATAAGATTTAAGTAAATGTCGGCATCTTAAACGTTAATGCAAAGGCTACTCATAACTACAGTCTGCAAATTTTGTATCTGCATCTGAGAATTTGAGGGGCTCTACTTATAACCCTTCCCCCCCCCCCACACATACACACACTGTAGGCTCACCAGTAACACCTAATACTAAGTGCAAAGTTAGCTCATTCAGTATGCTATTAGTTTACCACTAATTCCTTTCCCACTGAAGCTATATCGAGCCTGGCTCAAAAGCTAGTCCAGATTGGAGGATCCGCAACAGAATTTTGGTACTTCACTAGTGGGGTAGACATTTGGAGATAGCAGCCTTAATAGATGTCAGGGCTGATTTGATACTGGTCAGAGACTGACGTAACAGCAAGTTACTTGCCTCTTCTTTTAAGAGGAATAAGTTTAAATCAAATACGTTTGCATGTTAGGGCCTGTGAACTAATTCTGATACATCTGCAAATTGTTTCAAACCAAACTTGGAAAAGTTTGCACATGTATAGAGGCTGTTACATTTACACTGGGCTCCAGCAGCCTACATAGCAATACTCACAAGGTCATGGGAGCTGATAAGTAGATATTGGGAATGGAAAAAGCATTTCACTTCTAGATCAATTCAAATTTAGTTCAGACTCGTATCAATCAAAAGATATCATTTGATGGCTGCTTAGTTCACATAGGAAGCAATTCTAGTGGTCTCCTTCTCAAATTAGAAATTGGACTAAGATCCACATTAAGAGAACACCCTATTCCTAGTACTCTTAGCAGTCCATCCCAAAGTCTTTCTATGGATCTCTGAAGAAAAACCAAGGACAAGTGGGCATGGATACTGGATTATCCTCTCACCTGAAGGGGGTATCACAGGGTCTGATTTGTGGGTCCATTTTTTCAATTAGAAGATTTCAGTGTAGGCAGAATGGAAGTTCACACTTCACCTGCCAAGAGTAATTTGACTACTTGCATTCCCCTGCCCTTGCTGCCTCTAGATCAGGGGCAGCAAGCGGGGGTGGGGGGGGGAAGAGGAAGAGACACGGACACAGAAATTGGTGCTGGGGGGAGCCGGCTTAAAAGCTGGTTCCCCCCCCCCCCAGCACCGACTTCACAGTGCCGGGGGGTGGCGGGAGGAGGAGAGACAGTGGCGCAACTGCGTGCCCTGCTCCTCCTACATTTAAACTGCAGAGCCACAGCGAGGGTACTGAGCATGGCCCCCTCCCTTATTGACTAATCGAGTAGTCAATGTAAATTCCATCGACTACTCGATTAGCTGATTAATTGCAATTTAACATCCCTAGTCAAAAGCCCATGTTGGAGATGGGGTGAAATCCAGAAGCATGTGTGTAGGTCCTTTTGTGTGATTTTATTCTTCTTAAGACTAAATAAGCTTGCCTTGAAAGAGCTGTGTCGTAGCTAAACAATGGGCAAACTGTTTTGCTCGGCCATAAAGAGGGAATATAGGTGTAGTTACCCTTAACTGTGACAGCCCTCTACTGCGAGGTCTCTGGGCTTGCTGCAAGACACATTTTCCCTCCCCTTCCCCTGCCCCGCAGTCTAGATCCACTACCCAAAACTTGAAATAAAGTATGAATAAGCATGAGGAATTACAAGGAATACAGAGACATTTTATAAAGCTACCAGATAAGAATTAGTTCAGGCAAATTACCATTATAGGTACAGGAGGTAGGGCAAAATTACCATAGTGTTATACCTAATAAGGAAGTAGCATTTCACAATAGTTTCTTGTTTATAGTGCATGACTAGCTTTATTATATTCTCCACCCATTACAAGAATACTTATGCAACTGTGTATTTCCCCAGGTTTACTTGTCTTACTCCAGAGCACTGCACTGTATAAGTGCAACTTACCAATTGGTACAAAGGGTGACTCTTTCGATTTTCTGATCAGTTTTGATGCTTGGCTATCTTCAGTCTCATAGCTAGGAAGAACAGATTCCTGACTGGATGACATGTTGCCTTCAGAAAAGAAGAAAGTCTGCTTTAGAATTCAAGCATTTAAGTTTGAGAATTCTTTAGAAGTAAGACTTTGAGTATACCATAAGTATGTAGGTCACAGTTTCTTCCAGATATGTTAAAGTGAGTAACTGTTTTAATTGCTGAAAATTTCAGCAGTTACATGCACCTTCAGCTTGGGGGCAGCAGCTAACTCCCCAGGAGCTGGTGCGTGCTGGGAGCCAGCTTTTAAGACGGCTTCTGATACAGAAGCAGCAGCACCGGATAGCTTAAAAGCTGGCTCCTGGCATGGACCAGCTCTCACCCTCCGCTGCAGGGTCCAATACAGAGCCAGCAACACAGGGTGGGAGCCTGCATGTAACCGTTTATGATAACCAATAAGTCCAGGTTTATCTGTTAACCATGTGATTGATTATCCTATTATATTCCTAGTTTCTTCTACTGTATATTCAGTTATAAATCCGATACAACTCAAAAAACTGATCAGAACTGATCGGATGGTATAAGACTTAATCCACACTATTACAATATTTTTCTAATACCATCAAACTAAATTCAATTTTATTAATATAAACAACTCAGAATGTAGGTGTGGCATTTACAATACAAAAGAATGCGCTTTGGGAGAGTAATTCCATATTAAACAGACTGGTGATGTAGCAGGCCATTAGACAGCAGCATCCTGTCAAACTTTCTACATCAAGAAAAGAGTTCCCAAGCAACTTCAGGAAAAGCATAGTTTCTCACAAACTCTAACCCAGTGAGAGCTTGAATCAGAAGCATTTCCTTGCAAAATTTCTGTCTTTCGTCACATCAGTTTGTGGGGATACTCATCCATGCTTGTACTGGATTTTAAGAGGGAGGAGGGGAAGAGACCCTGAAGTATTTTGTCTTGAACAACAGCAAGCCACTATAGAAGGTCAAACAGTTGCATATTTGAGGAGTAGGGAAAATTTCACCTCCAGTATACTCCACTTTGAGTTTAAAGTATGTAAATTCAGATTTTTGCTGAACAGCCAGAAGCCTAATATTTATAGAATAGGTACCCAACAGTGTTTCCTGTAAGAAGAGCAGTTGGGCACCACCCCGCCAGAGATTCAGGTGCTGCCCAGCTGATTTGCAAAGCAACCACAGCCAGCATCATATGCTCCTATTGGTGATACACATCATCCACACATGCTTTGGTGCACATAAAATTTATTTCACATATGGATGGGAAAAAATAAAAGGAACATTGGTACTGGGTTGAGTAATGATATCAGACCTTGAAGAATTGTTTGATAGACACACCATAGCTTGCATGTGAGATATATTAGCTTTTTTGGAATTATCATTCCCACATCAGTGAATACTTCTCATGCAACACTATTTCATCTACAATTAAAAAGTTCAAATTGAAAGTTTTTACTATCAAGAGAGAGTGGTAGAAGGGAACAGCTTCTTAGAGCAGAACACCATTGTTCAGCCCCTAGTGACTAGACAAAATTTCAATATTGCCAGC